TGCTCAGGAACGAAGCACCTGGGCTCAGCGGGCAGTCCTGAGGCTCGCCTGACCCCAGGACCAGGGTTCCTACTGGGAAATCACTTTACGTGGTGTCTCAGGGGAGTGGTCGGATAAAAAAAGGGAGGGTGGCCCTGGAGGGCAAAAGCTCATGATTTCGGCAACGGCAGCAGAAGTGTCTATAGCATCGGTAAACAAAAATATAGTGTCGGTAAGCTCAGGCAACGTCGATCCTGGGAAAAAACGAAAACACTTCTTCACCTTCGACTACTTGGTTCATGAAATACTTCAATCAGTGAAGGAATGTATTTCCAGAGAGCCAATGACATATGAACACAAGTTGAAAATGCACCTTAGGTATTAAGTAATGGTTGGAAAAATTATTAAAGATATACAAACTCCAGGTTAGCTGAAGAGTCGGCTTTCAGGGCCAGCAACATCACTGTCAAAGCACATGGGCACCTGGTTCCAGTTTTCACTCAGGTGAGCAGAGTCGAATGGGGTCTTACTTGCTTGGGATTTAATTCTTCTACAGACTTTTCTGTTATGCTCAGATTCTACCATTACTACTTTCATACTGGGAAAATGTTTTTTAAAAAACAGAATGGGTGCTTGTTTTTAAAAATAAAATCCTCAGAGGTGCCACTCAGGCTTTGAGCTCATTTCTAAGTGGAAAAATAAAAAAGAATTTCCCACACACCCACAGAAATTTCACCAACCTTTTTTTTTTTGAGTCGGGGCTCATTCTGTCATCCAGGCTGGAGTGCAGTGGCACTTTCACAGCTCACTGCAGACTCGACCTCCTGGGCTTGGGCGATCCTCCAGCCTCAGCTTCCTAAGTAGCTGGGACTACAGGCACAAACTACCACACCTGCTAATTTTTAGATTTTTTTGTAGAGATAAGGTCTCACTATGTTGCCCAGGCTGGTTTCGAACTCCTGGGCTCAGGCAATTCTCTCACCGCTGCCTCCCAAAGTGCTGGGATTACAAGTGTGAGCCACCATTGAGCCACCACACTGGGCCTCAGAATATGGTTCTCAGTCACTATCTCAAATCCCTGGAAGGGGCCAAGAACCTGCTGAGAGGTCAGAATCCTAGTGAGTTGCTGTGCCACTGCACTGTGTTCTTTTAGCCACTGTGCCCTTTCTGACAACTCACTCTTGCCTTACCGCCTGACTTTCACATCTCTTGAGGGGAATTGTGAATTTAGGGCTGCAATGTAGCAAGATCCAGGGCCTAGAATTATGAGACCCGTTTACAATAGTGATTTTCGTATTAAAACTAGCATGTTCAATTCATGAGACCTCTGTAATTCAACAGGGACAACATGCTTGATTTTAGGTTGAAATAAAGTTCACATGGGTTTGGTATTGCATGAAAGAAAGAACACCACTACTACCGTGAAGCACTTACAGTGTTATGAAGTTACCACGTGGAGGTCCCAGCAGAAGGAAAAAGAGGGTTTTCAAAACAGACCAGAGGGCGGAAGTGAGGGCAGAAGTTTGAGCCTTGCCCTGAAACCAGACAGAGACCTCCAGGGCAGGAAAAGAAGCATCCCCTCCGGTGCATGACAGTGAGGATGGAACAAATCCACCACCACGCAAGGCCAGCATGGCCGCATGCGACTGCACACTGGCCAGCACAAAGGTGCTGGGCCTGAGAGCCTGACCCCAGCCCCAGCAGCGGGGAGGTTGGTGGGTTCCTGCAGGATGCCCACTCTCTCCACGGCCTCCTGAGGGAGGACCACCCTGCACGCTGGAGCTTTCTTCAGCAGACCCAGGGCTGTGAGAAGGACATGCACTGGCCACAGCAGTCCCAGAGTTTTGGAAAAATGGCCCTTAGAGACACAGGGAGGACAAAATCTACCCCAAATGAAGGCAGTGTTGGGAAGGCCCAGCAAACACATTGCATGTGTAGAAGCTGTTCTCAAAATCTCAGGAGCCGCTGACGTGCTGAGTGGAGCCGTGTGCACCTCGGGGACCCAGAGGACCTGTCCGGGAGCCTCAGAAGGGACCGTCTAATGTCCTTGAGGCCCACAGTGTGTGGTCTACATAGCCGCTGGAAAGGTTCTCTCTGTGGTGGCCTCAGGCCATTCCAGGGCCACAGAGGGGCTTGTGGCTAAGGAGCAGCTCATGGGTGGTAATGTGGGTGGTTCTCTCTGGACAGGACGCACCACAGATCTGGCCACCGGGACAACTCACGTGTCTCTGTGGTGTCCTGACACAGGTTCTGGGGCCACCCCTGCTCCACGTCCCCAGAGAGTGCCCATGCTGGCACACCCGGCCCCGTGAGCCAGAGCCCCACCAGGGGGTCCAGCAGTCATGCCCTCCCAGCCCCATGCCCATACCACTCCCCAACAGCCAAGTATGTGGGAGAGGAAGGGGTGTGCCCCAGGCCACAGCAGCAAAGGACAGGGCTGAGCTGGCCTGATCGAGTCCCAGCCTTACTGGAGCGGCCCCTCCCCCATCCCAGCTGACCAGGGACAGAGACCTTGGAAGGTACAGGTAACAATCCCTGAGTCTCTTGCTGTTGGGACAAAGATGCAGGCTCAGGTCAGCTGGCGCTGGTCATCCCGGAATGTAGGACTTCAGAGTGCCCAACCCTCACTGAACACCTGTGTAAGTGAAGCCCCCACAGGTATGGCCGGGTGTCTGCCATCACCCAGATGTGTTCCACAGGGGCCAAGGGCCATGCGGCCCCCAGTGCTGTCTCACCTACCAGCTCTGCCTGTCCTGTTTGTCCCTGGACTTTTGCAAGGACCTGCCCCCCAGGCTCCGGGCTCCCAGCCAGGCCCTCAATGGGTCCCCCAGCCCAGCTCCGGTCATGTGACATCGCTCCCCACACCCTCAATGACTCCCAGGGGCTACAGATCTCCCAAAGCCGGCCCCCAAGGTGCTCCAGGCCTGGTCCAGCTCCCCTCCCTGCATCACCCTTCTTGCCCTTTGGTGCCTTGGCTGGGCCCGAGACTCCTATGTCCAACTCCTCAACAACCTCCCCATTCTCTGACAGTCTTGGGGCTGCAACGCACAACTGCTTGGCCAGCTCCTGGGGGGGTCCCCATGCCGTGTCTGTAGCACCTAGCCTTGGGCCCCTCTGAGCCAGGGCTTCTTTTCATGACCATGGGTGTGACACAGCCGATAACAAAGACAAGCAACCTGTAACGTGTCCTGGGACAGAACGCTGAGGTCGGAGGAGAGGCAGAAACGCCGACTTACCGAGGACGGCCTCGACGGTGCTGCCGGCTGGGCCTAGTGGGAGGGCACGGATGGGGAGGGCAGGCAGCGTGGTGGGCGAGGAGCTGCCGGAGCCGGTGCTGGACGCCAGGCTGGATGCCACACTGGAGCTCACACTGGGGGCCAGCGGGTGGGCTGCTGCAAACACGGCCAGGTGGTTCTGTTTGGAGACACACAGACACGTGAGCAGGCACCCCGCACGGAGGAGCAGTAGCATGACGTTAGCACACCACCAGGAATAGAGCATGAACCACAGCAAGGACGGGCCGGCCACCTTCCATCCTCCGGGCACAGCACAGGATGTTTTCCCTGATACCCAAGGGGGACTCATGCATTTATGACTCCAGGACACGCAGGACCAGAAACTCAGTTCACACGGGAAAGGAACAAATGCAGCTAGAAAATATCTTGTGAGTTTTTCTGCAGAAAATGATTTTCTTTTTTTTTTCAGACGGAGTCTTACTATGTTGCCCAGGTTGATCTCAAACTTCTGGCCTCCAGCGATCCTCCCACCTCCACCTCCCAAAGTGCTGGGATTACAGGTGTGAGCCACTGCGTCCGGCCCAGAAAATGATTTTCAAAAGCAGACGTTTTCCACTAAAAACCCAGGAGGCTCAGAAAGATGTGTCAGAGGCTGAGGCCAGGGGCCAGCCAGCCAGAAGGGACCAGACTCCAGCCTGCCCTCCTCCCTGCCCACCCAGGTGCCCCAGAGGGCTGCTCCTCCCTGTGCCTGTCCTGGCCCGGCTTCTGGGCACCTTCTGGGCTTTGGAAAAGTGTCCCCCCAGGGATGCAAGTAGAGCCTGAGCACAGCTTCCAAAACACCCACGAAGTGGTCCTAGGACCTTAGCCAGGGCAATTCACACCATCTCTACTTGGTAGAGGACAGGCTAAAAGAACAGCGCACAGTACAATCTTGAAATATCTATTAACATGCAGGACCTTGTACACAAGAAAAACCCACAGTAAAAATGACTCACAACGGAGCTGAAAGGATGGAGTTCAGGCAACAGCTGTGTCTGAAAAGCGAACTTCAAGGTCACCATAAAATCAAGAATGAAAAGTGATAGTAAAGTGAGTTTCATGCTGAAGTATTTACAGTGGAAATGATATGATATCTGGGTTTGGCTTCAGCGTAATACAGAAAAAAAATAGGAGGGAAAAGTCACCCTGTGAGTAAAACGAGCTCACAGGGTGTATGTGTGTGTGTGGGGGGGGGTTTACTAGTCTGCTTAAGTAAAATTGTCCATGATAAAAAAAAAAGTGTTAACATACTTTTCACATGGACCAGATGCAGTGGCTCATGCCTGTAATCCCAGCACTTTGAGAGGCTGACAGGGGAGGACTGCTAGGAGCCTAGGAGTTCGAGACCAGCCTGGGCAACATAGCAAGACCTCGGCTCTACAAAAAAAAAAAGAGAAAGAAAACATTTAGCCAGGTGGCTGCAGTCCCAGCTACTTGAGGAGCTGAGGTGGGATGATGGCCTGAGCCCAGGAGTTTGTGGTTGCACTGCACTCCATCCTGGCCCACAGAGAGAGACCCCAACTCAAAACACACACACACACACACACACACACACACACACACACACTCTCTCTC